GAGATATAAATTTGAATTAGGATTATGAGTTGTAGTTAATGAAACTAATTTAGGATTATTATATTTGGATTTTATGTGATTCCATAATTTGCGGATACTTTCCTTTAATTGTTTGGGAGATTGTCTATTTTCCATAGTATTCTATTTATTAACGTTACAAAGAATAAAAATTAAATATTATTTTCAAATAACTGGTAACACAAAAAAATTCCTAAATCTAGAAATGAACGTTTTCGTATCTTGGTAATGTTAATTTTTTTTCTATCAACTTTCCTATCATCTTAACGTTAATTTTTTCACTTTCCTATCTCCTAATGTTAAAATATCTTTTTTCTATCACCTTTCCTATCAATCATCTTAATGTTAAATAAATTGAGAGCTATTATTATCTCGTTAATGTAAAAAATTTTTTATGGCAACACTGGGATTCGAACTCGCAACCTATCGTTCGGAAGACAAACTTTTTTCCATTAAGCCCCCCCCCCTTCAATATTATATTTTGATATATTTGTATATATATGAAACTTTTTTTTATAAAATTAACTTAATTTAATTAGAATGACGGGTTGATGGGTAATTATTAAGTTAGGTGTATATGATACTAAATATGCTTTATTAATATATTTTATAAAAATATTAAAATTTAGGAGAAAAAGAGGTAAAATTGTTACAATGTAACACGTGAACATTAAGGGTATTAGAAATATCAAAATTTAAATTGTGACAGAAATCATATTGGCTAAAATTTAATATAGAGATCCTTGAAAATTTAATTTTAAATATGGGATATAGATATTGGTCTGAAAATTTTTTTTTACAAACATAGCCAGGCCTGATCAAAAAACCAAGTCCCATGCAACTTTCATAAAATTTTCATTTTTTTTATTTTGATTTAATAACAATGTCTTAAATTTAATTTTAATATTCCTTTTATTTCTATTGTGGGTAATTACTAATTAGTTAGGTGTATATGATAAGAAATATGCTTTATTAATATATTTTATAAAAATATTAAAATTTAAGAGAAAAAGAGGTAAAATTGTTGCAATGTAACCCGCGAGCATTATGGGTATTAGAAATATCTGGGTAAAATTTAAAATAGAGATTCTTGAAAATTTTTTAATTTTAAATATGGGATATAGACATTGGCCTGATATTTTTTTTGCAGACATAGCCAGGCCTGATCAAAAAACCAAGTCCAATGCAACTTTTATATAATTTTCATTTATTTTTTATTGTAATTTAATAACAATTTCTTAAATTTAATTTTATATTCCATTTATTTCTATTGTAATTTAATAACAATGTCTTAAATTAAATTTTATATTTAGATTTTAAAATAAAATTTAAAATTGTGATAGATATCATATTAAGTAAAATTTAAAATAGAGATAACATTGGCCGGGAAATTTTTTTTCGCAGACATGGCCAGGCCTTATCAAAAAACCAAGGCCTATGCGACTTTCATATTCTGATTGTATTTTTAAATGAATTATGGGGCTGGGCTTGGGAATTTTTTTATTATTAACTATGAGTCAGACATTGAACTAAAACAAATTTTATTGCAGGCCTGGGCTCGGCCTGATCATAAGATCTAAATTTTAATAATTACTTTTATGAAATTTTAATCAAGAATGAAGGAAGCATGATAAAAATGGGTAGCTAATGTCATTTTAAGAGATTCCAATATTGTTTGGGGTGTATTGTGAGATTTATTTTTGTTTGTCAAATAGCTAAATATAATTTAAAGAATAGTTATAAGATCTAAATTTTAATAATTACTTTTATGAAATTTTAATCAAGAATGAAGGAAGCATGATAAAAATGGGTAGCTAATGTCAGGGTGTATTGTGAGATTTATTTTTGTTTGTCAAATAGCTAAATATAATTTAAAGAATAGTTATAAGATCTAAATTTTAATAATTACTTTTATGAAATTTTAATCAATAATGAAGGAAGCATGATAAAAATGGGTAGCTAATGTCATTTTAAGAGATTCCAATATTGTTTGGGGTGTATTGTGAGATTTATTTTTGTTTGTCAAATAGCTAAATATAATTTAAAGAATAGTTATAAGATCTAAATTTTAATAATTACTTTTATGAAATTTTAATCAAGAATGAAGGAAGCATGATAAAAATGGGTAGCTAATGTCAGGGTGTATTGTGAGATTTATTTTTGTTTGTCAAATAGCTAAATATAATTTAAAGAATAGTTATAAGATCTAAATTTTAATAATTACTTTTATGAAATTTTAATCAATAATGAAGGAAGCATGATAAAAATGGGTAGCTAATGTCATTTTAAGAGATTCCAATATTGTTTGGGGTGTATTGTGAGATTTATTTTTGTTTGTCAAATAGCTAAATATAATTTAAAGAATAGTTATAAGATCTAAATTTTAATAATTACTTTTATGAAATTTTAATCAAGAATGAAGGAAGCATGATAAAAATGGGTAGCTAATGTCAGGGTGTATTGTGAGATTTATTTTTGTTTGTCAAATAGCTAAATATAATTTAAAGAATAGTTATAAGATCTAAATTTTAATAATTACTTTTATGAAATTTTAATCAATAATGAAGGAAGCATGTTAAAAATGGGTAGCTAATGTCATTTCAAGAGATTCCAATATTGTTGGCGGTATAATTAATTGAAAAACGGTAAAAATATATTGGTGAGAAATTCAAAAATTACGTCAAAATTAGGCGCATGCGCAAAGTATATAAAGCTTCATATATATACACAAATATATCAAAATATAATATTGAAGGGGGGGGCTCAATGGTAAGAACGTTTGCCTTCCGAACGATAGGTCGCGAGTTCGAATCTCTATTTTGCCATAAAAAAATTTTTAAAAAAAGTTTTAACATTAGCGAGATAATAATAGCCCTCGATTTATTTAACATTAAGATGATAGGAAAGTTGATGGAAAAAAAATATTTTAACATTATGAGATAGGAAAGTGAAAAAATTAACGTTATGAAGATATGAAAGTTGATACAAAAAAAATTAACATTACCAAGATACGAAAACGTTCATTTCTTGAATATGGCTATTATATATATAGATTATTTTTTTACCAATTTTCACCAGACAATCTTGTTTAAAATTTGGGTAAACTTTTTTTTCTATTTTAAAATCAATATCGATGCAAGTTAACTATTTTCGTCAAAAAAAATCAAAAAACTTTAAAAATAACAATTATGACAATTGTCGCTTATCTAGAGTACATCTTCACTAAATTTTTATTTAAACATGTTATCAATACTTATTTTAAAATATCTTTGTCAGTAATATTCAAAAAACTTTAAAAATAACGATTATGACAATTGTCACTTTTCATTGGTACATCTTCACTAAATTTATATTTACACATCTTATTAATACTTATTTTAACATATTTTCGTCAAAAAAATTCAAAAAACTAAAAATAACGATTATGACAATTGTCACTTTTCTATGGTACATCTTCACTAAATTTTTATTTAAACATGTTTTTAATATTTATTTTAACATATTTTCTTCAAAAAAATTCAAAAAACTTTAAAAATAACAATTATGACAAATGTCACTTTTCATTGGTACATCTTCACTAAATTTATATTTACACATGTTATTAATACTTATTTTAACATATTTTCTTCAAAAAAATTCAAAAAACTTTAAAATTAACGATTATGACAAATGTCACTTTTCATTGGTACATCTTCACTAAATTTATATTTACACATGTTATTAATACTTATTTTAACATATTTTCGTCAAAAAAATTCCAAAAACTTTAAAAATAGCGATTATGACAATTGTCAGTTTTCATTGGTACATCTTCACTAAATTTATATTTACACATGTTATTAATACTTATTTTAACATATTTTCGTCAAAAAATTCAAAAAACTTTAAAAATAACGATTATGACAATTGTCACTTTTCTATGGTACATCTTCACTAAATTTATATTTACACATGTTATTAATACTTATTTTAACATATTTTCGTCAAAAAAATTCAAAAAACTTTAAAAATAACGATTATGACAATTGTCACTTTTCTATGGTACATCTTTACTAAATTTATATTTACACATGTTATTAATACTTATTTTAACAAATTTTCGTCAAAAAAATTCAAAAAACTTATATAAGAACGATTATGACAATTGTCACATTAAAATATTATCCTTAAAAACATCATATAAAATAACATCAAAAAAGTTTCATAAAATCCACCTCATTTAATAATAAATAGATAATTTTAAAAAATAGATAAATGATTTCACCTAAAAGATTGTTTATTTATCTAATAAAATTTACAATATAATTCCTCAATAAAAGATGTATTTACAAAGAAGGTTGTGAAAATCACTAATAAATTATACTATAAAGAATATTACATTTTTACAATATAGCAGCATATTATTTTTTTTATTAAAAAAACATCAAATAAATAAATTTATTTTCATTTCAAAATATAATAATATAAATAAAAAATATTAAATCATATCATGTTTATTTGTTGATAATAATAAAATATTTACATTAAATATAAATATAAATAAAATAAATTATTTTACTAAAATAAATAAATAATAATTAATGCTAAGCATCGATGCACAATTTTGACTAATTTATTTTAGCCAATTTTTAGGCTTAGCCCATTTTTAGGCTTAGCCAATTTTTAGGCTTAGCCGATTTTTAGGCTTAGCCATTTTTAGGCTTAGCCTAATTAGGTTTAGCCGATTTTTAGGCTTAGCCTAATTAGGTTTAGCCGATTTTTAGGCTTAGCCGATTTTTAGGCTATACCTAATTAGGCTTAGCCGATTTTTCCACCTAAAATCTCGGCTAAGCCGTTTTTAGTCGGCTAAAATTAGCCGATTACGCAACACTAGTCATGCCCTAAAACGTCCATATAAATTTAGTAAAACTCATTACTTTCTTAAGCATTTGAATAATTGAGAAGTATTTTCAAAAGTTATTAATGAAAATATCAGAATAAACCTTTATCGGCTAGGGTCATAATTATAGTTTCTCCTTCCTGGAATGCATCTAAAGAATGATCAACTTTTATCCCTTTTAGATACTTGGCTGAATATTCCTGAATTTTAAACAAAAAGTTTCAATAGATATGTAAATAAATATATTTTTTAAATAAATACTTTGTCCCAATTTTCGTGTTTCCGTTTGAAATTAGGCAGATTTGATTCAACTAATTGGTCTATCCCAAAATCTTCATCTAATTCTTCTAATATTTTAGCCTAAAAATGAATAATTTTATAAAATTATAAATATTGATTTTAAATGATGTTTATGAAGGTATGGGAGGACGATTTACATGATATGCTAGTTGAGTGCTATCGAGTAGATATTAAAGGGAAAAGGTTTTACTTAAGAATCATTTTTCATTTCATTGATATGTGTGTGGTGAATTCGTGGCTTTAGTATCGGCAGCTAATATGCCTGAAAAAAAGAGAATAAATTTTTGAAACTTTTGTTAACGCATTGTTATCGGCAGGGAAAATTAGTAAAAGAAAAGCTGGGAGACATTTGAATGAACCGATAATTAAAAAAAAAGTTCCCCTATAATGGAGCCTATATCTAATATCAGATATGACAAGGAAAACATAGGTTATTGGCCGTATTCCTGCGAAACGAGGCAAAGATGCAAGTTATGCATAATAACATACTGTACAAAAGTGCAAAATGTAATATATATTTATGTTTTATCCAATATAGAAATTGTTTTCAAGATCTACTTTGTATTACACTATGCCTGATTGTTATATTAATTTGAATAACATATTTGTAATAAAATAATATAACGTATTTATATTTAAAAGGTCAATCCAATTGAATACTTATAGAAGTAATAATTATAAAATAGTATATATATATATAGACAAGAATTGAAATAAAAGATAACAATTGTTTTGACTATAAAATTGGCGACGAAATAAAAATGCGGTATTCGGTTAAGTTAAATAAAATTGTATATTCTTAGAAATTATGGGTGATATTTCAAAGATTATATTAAACGAATTTTGTAAAGAGGAAACTTCTCCAGATGATCATTTGGATTATATTAAATATATTTTGAATGTAAAGAATATCCCTCAAACAGGCATAACTTTGAAAAAAATATTCATAGCATATGGAGGAATAAATATAATAACTGATAGAAAAAAATTTACTATTTCCAAGAAAAATTGATGATATGGTATGGGCAGATTTATACAAAATTGCAAAACAACTTTTTAAAGATGAAAGAACTGTTTTGGCATTCAAAAATTGATTTCATTAGATTAAGTCGCGGACCAACAGAATCCGTATTGAGTTATTTAAAAAACATAAAGGAATTAGCCCGTAGATGCGAATTTGAAGATAATATAAAATTACGAATTCGTGATCAATTAATCGCTGGATTAAAGATGTCACAACTAGATAAAGAACTAAGTTTAAGATACCCAGATATTAGAGACGAAGACCAACCGTTAAGGTTAAACAAGGTTATATAAATGACTTTAGCTAGAAATAAATAATACTACTAAAATGGTTTATAAAATCAAAGAGACGACTAAACATAATGATAATAATAAACGATTAAATCAAAATGATAGTAATTAATAATTGACAGTATAATGATAATCGGCACTATCAAAATGATAATAAAACATACGTAAAAAGAGAACCAGTTCAAGGTTATAATAACTACCACACAAAAAATAATAATACAAGAAAACCATGCTATTTTTGTAATCGTTTTTATTCAGAATTTCCCAGCGTACGGAAAAACTTGCAGCAAATGTAAAAAAATAAACCACTTTGCAGTGTGTTATAAAACTAAAGGAAAAGTGTACGGTTCTAATTACAATAGTAACGCTGAGGATTCAGATTTCTCGATAAGAAATCTACAAATATGGACAGCACCCAACAATTTCGGTATTAATAAACAATCACGAAATTAAAATGGAATATGATACAGGTTCAGCAGTAACCATCATTAATGCAACATAGAATAAAATTGGGAGGCCAAAACTTAGAATGGCTAGAGCTCCAACTACATATGGAAACAATATAAAAATTATGGGCGAAGCTTATGCAAAAGTTCAATTAGATGATAAAATAAAATTGCTTCCGTTATTAGTTACAATAACAAATGATGCAGAGCTATTTGGATTTCCATGGAGTATAGAATTTGATCTATCGTTACCAAAGGTAAAAGTTAATATGCAGCAATAGATATAATAATGATGATCATAGAAACTTGAATATTGAAAAACTATATAAAGAATTCGCTACGGTGTTTAATAATAAATTAGGATTAATAAAAAATGTCGAACCAGTAAAACTACAATTGGAAGAAAATACAAAACCAATAACTATACCGTTAAAAGTAGAAATTGAAAATTAACTGCAACGTTTGGAAGAAAATAACATAATAAAGAAAATAGATCCATCAACAACAAGAGTAATTTGGAGTACTCCAATGGTAGTGGTACGTAAAACTTCAGATTAACTACGATTATGTGGTGATTTCAAAGTAATATTAAATAAATTTCTACTAAAAGACTATAACATTCTACCAACGTTTGAAGAAATGATGGGAAAGATTGCTAATGGAAATAAGCAGGGATTCGAACCGAACCCGAACCCGGAGAAGTGAACCCGGGTTTTTAGAAAAAAACTCTGAACCCGAACCGAACCTGAACCCCATTTATAAAATTTTCAAAACCCCGAACCGAACCCAAGAATTTATTTGAACCCGGGTTCAATCGGGTTCAGTGTATTATTTAAAATCAAATTTCCAATTAAATGAAGTCTTAATAAATTTTAAACAACTTAATTCATTTATGCCATTTTTAAATTTATACTCGATTCCTATTGGAGTGTTAAAAAATTTTAAACAATTGAATTAATTTACGCCATTTAATTTTAAATTTTTATCTTATTATTCTTAAAGATTATTAATTAGAAGAAAATGGTTAACAAATCAAAGTAAAAATTATTATATTGTTAATTTAAAAAATTCTAAACATCTAACTTAAAAATTGTTAAATGTAGGGCAGTTTTTGTGAACTTATTAAAATGATTTTAAAATTTATATATGCTAATCATTTATTTTTGGTTCAGTTTAATTTTTACAAGATATTAATGAAGTGCATATTATAAATGAAATTAAATTTATAAATATCTCTTTTTTAATTCTGAAATCATTGCTATTTAAAAAAATTGTTCTCTTTTTATAGATTTAAGATTAAAGATAAAGTCATATTTGATAAGCATTTTACCCTTAATACAATAGAAAAAAAATCAATATGTTCATATTGCAAAGTAAAAATGTCTGGTAATCACTTGTCAAATTTAGAAAGACACCTGGAAAAAATCACAACAATGAATATTTTCATTATTTAAATGAAAAAACCAAATATCAGGAATTGTTATTGACAAAAAAACATAAAATTAATATAGAAACCTTTTTTCCAAAAAAGCATATAAGTATAAATATATCATCTAATGATTTGATGAGTTCTATACTAAAACTTGTTACTGTAAATGGCCGGCCTTTATCAATTATTGAATATTCGGGATTTCAAAGAATTATAAATCCACTCCTATCTGGGCTCAATTTAGTTATAAACAAAGAAAATTTATCCAGAACTATTAATAAAACAGCCCAATCAATTAGAGACAAAATATCGAGAGAGGTAGAAGGAAAATTAATAAGTTTAAAAGTTGATGCAGTTCAACGACTAGATAGGTCAATTCTTGGTGTAAATATTCAATTTATATCAAAGTCCATTATAAATTTGAGGACTCTTGGAATTGTAGAGCTGAAAGAGAGATGTACAGGAGAATATATAAAAGAGAATATATTAAAAACTTTACTAAAATTTAAAATTAATATTCAACAAATATACACAATTACTTCTGATAATGGTTGTAATTTTTTAAAAGCTATAAAGCTCCTGCAACCTGAAACTGATTATGATATAAGGAGTGAATCAGCAGATGAGGAAAATATGGATGTAAATGTATATAAATATGATATTGATGATATACAAAATACTTTTTTATCAACTATTATATCCTATCCGATTTATAGTGTACGGTGTGCAGCTCACACACTTCAGCTGGCACTTCAAGATGCTATAAAATTATCACCTATTGTGGAAACCATTGCAAAAGCTAGGAGCCTAAATTTAAAATTAAGACATCCCACTTACCAAAAGTTATTAAAAAATATGAAACTCCCTAAGCCTGTGTTAGATTGCCACAGATGGCATTCAACCCATGATATGTTAGAAAGGCTGATTTTACTAAAACCCAATATCGAAGATTTTTTTACAGAGCAATCTGGTTATTTATTGACTGAAGATTGGAAAGAGATAATAACGATTGTTGAAATTTTAAAACCGCTAAAAATCGCAACCAAACAATTCCAATCTGAACATTTAACACTGACAGATTTTTATGCAGCATGGTTAAGATGCTGCATCGAACTGGAAAAAAATCCAAACCATTTTGCTCAATTACTATATTCTTGTCTTAAGAACAGAGAAGAAAGGTTTATAAAGAACGAAATTCTCTTAGCTGCCATATACCTGGACCCAAGATACAAGGTTAATTAAAAGCTTAGTAAATTAATTATTTTAGATTTATATTAAAATTGTTATTTTATGAAATATTTAAATATAAACAATATAAATCCTTAAATATTACAGGTATTACTTAGTGATGATGATAAGATTTGTGCGAAAAAACATCTTGTCAATTTATGGAGACGAATTAAAAGCTTAACAACGCCGATTTTATCTGATGATATTAGTTCCGATGAAGTTATTGAACAAGAAGATGATTTAGAGAAATTGATACAACTTACAGAAAGGCAGGAGAAAATACTTAAAAGAGGGCCAACGATTGCTGAGAAAAGTATTGGAACAATAATTACTGGATTTAGCGATTATAAAAGATTAGATAAGAAGGAAAATATTTTGCATTTTTGGGAGTCTGCTAAGCTGGAACACCCTGAATTATATATTTTATCTAAAATCTTATTTGCTGTTCCTGCAACCCAAGTTAATTTTTCATATTTTCACATATAAATACATTTAACATAGGTTAGCGTTGAAAGATCTTTTTCACATTTGAAATTCATTCTTTCACCACATAGATCGAGGATGAGTGAACAACTCTTGGAAGATATTATGCTAAAACGTCTAAATAAAATTTTTAAAATTGATACATGACTATATGCTTTGTATTTTTAACTATATTTGCCTATAAATAAAATAAAAAATTTATTTTTTATATCAAATTTATGTCTAGTTTTTTTATCAACTCAAAAATTCTTGAACCCGAACCGAACCCGAACCAAACCTGGGTTCAAAAATATTTCCCTGAACCGAACCCGAACCGAACCCACCTTTTTTTTTATACCCCGAACCGAACCTGAACCGAACCCGGGCAAAAATTTTGTCGGGTTCGCATCCCTGGAAATAAGTATAAAACATTAGATCTTAAAGATGCATATCTACAAATGAGTATTGACGAAGAATCGCAAGAATTATTAACATTTATAACACTAAATGGATACTACCCTTTTAGTATGGCTACAGCACTAATAATATTTCAACGATATATGGACGATTTACTAGCTGAAAATATACAGCAGTTTATTTAGAAGATGTTATAATAACAGAAAAAAATGATACAAAACATATAATGAATATAAAACAAGTCCTCAAAAAATTACAACATCGGGATTAAAAGTCAAAACAAGCAAAATGAATTTTATGAAAGAAAAAATATCATATTTAGGATACATAATAGATGAAAATGGAATACATCCAAATAAAACGAAAATAATAGCAATACAAAAATATCCAACTCCAAAAGTCAGACATGACATAAAATCATTTTTAGGTATATTAAACTATCATACACGGTTCATACCAAACTTACATGGAACTATAGCGGAATTACATAATAAAACTAGTAAAAATGTTAAATGGAATTTGACTAAAAAAGATGATACATTATTTGAAAGAGCAAAAGGAATAGTAACAGAACAAAATACTATATAAATAACAAACAGATGCATCTAATTAAGGATTTGAAACTGTACTCCTGCAAAAATATGATAACGGAAACGAATTTTCAATAGCTTACACCTCAAGAAATTTACAAGACGCTGAAAAGAATTATTCTACAATAGACAAAGAAGTAAAGCAATAATAAACGGCGTAGAAAATTTCATAACTATTTGTATGGACGAAAGTTTAAAATACGAACAGACCACAACCTTTAATAAAGATATATCGCAATAAGAGAGATTTAAGCTCATTAAGAAATCAAAGATTATTGCGTTGGGCTTATAAATTATCCGTATGATATTATGAAAAAGAATTGTGCTACTAATATAATTGCAGATGCTTTATCGCGAAATCCAATGAAAAATGTTGATAGAATAACAAGTGAAAATAAAACAGTAATGTTTATAATAAATTTTACTTATGACACATTAACTCCATCTAGAAAAGAACTTAGAGAAGAAATAGCAAAAGATCCAATCTTAAGAAGAGTAAAAATATTAATAAATGGTACAAATATACAAAATCATGCACCAGAATTAGAAGCTTTTAGAACAAGAATAGATGAAATAGAAAATGACGACGGTATTTTGTTTTGGAATGGCAGATTAATCATACCATACTCACTTCAAAAAAGTTTTACATATATAGCATATGGGACATCCGGGTATTACATCAATGAAATCCACTATGAGATATTATATATGGTGGAAACAATTAGAAAAAGATGTTGAAAAACTAGTTAACAGCTGCATAGGATGTCAAAATATATGCAGAGATATGTACCAGGTTTGCCGTATACCATGGAATCCGCTATCGCAATCCTGGGAAAGGGTATATTAACATTTTTTGATTCCTTATAAGCTATATATGATTCTGCGTTTATTTTTTATAAATTAAGCGTCTTTGATAGGGGGCGTGTAGTTTAGTCAAAAAATATAAAAATGATTAATACCATTATCTAAATCTCCTTGAAATGCTAAACATGATTCTGTATTAATTTTTTAAAATAATGTATATTTACTGGGGGCACGTAGTTTAGTCAAAAAAAGAAGAAATTAAGTGTTTTTTCAAAATATCAATAAGTTATAAATAATTTATAAACTTAATATTAACATTTTTTGATTCCTTTTAATGAGCCTAATATGATTATGCTTTAATTTTTTATGAATTAAGCTTCTTTGATAGGTGGTGTGTAGTTTAGTCAAGAAATTTTTCTTTGATAATTAAATTTATTTTTTTTTTAAAAAAATGAATAATATCATTTTCTGAACTTCCTTGAAAAGCTAAACATGATTCTGTATTCATTTTTTCAAAAATAAATTCACCGAGGGTGCATAGTTTAGTCAAAAATAAATATGTGATTTTTCAAAAGCACATTAGGTTATAAAAAGTTTTAAAATATAATATTAACATTTTTTTAATTCCTTTTAATAAGCTATATATGATTATGCATTCATTTTTTATAAATTAAACTTTTTTGATAAGGGGTGTGTAGTACATAGTTTAGTCATGAAAAAAATAATTTTTTAAAAATTTTACTCTTTACTTTTTTTTTAAATAAAAAAAAACATTTTTAAATCATTTTATAAAGCTAAATACAATTCTATATTAATATAATTTAAATAGAGCTTCTTTAATAAGGGGCACATATTTTAGTCATGCCCATATTATTAGTTTTAAACATTTACAAATTAAATTAACTTGCTATTATTTTTTAATTTTGAGAGGGCTCTCCGAAATTTTGGCAGGGCTCGAGCCCAAAGTAGCATCTCTGGTGACTGATGCCATTGGTTTGTTATATATCATTTTGGTGATTATTAATACTGAATAATAAAATAGTAACATATAATTCTTAATTCTCCCAAATATTATAATTTTGAAATTTGAATATGTTCAATATTGATTATCAAGGAATAAGATAATTTTTTTAAAAATACTTTTTTTAAAGCTACTTCTTTATCTTTTTGTAATTGTCTGCTTTTATTAACCCAAGAAAGAGCACTTTCATCTTCATTATCAAACTCAGCAAGTTTTTTCACTTTTCTAAATTTTTTTTATAAAATTAATTTAAAAAAATATATATTAATAATGATATAATAAGTGGATCTTAAAAATTACAAGTTCAATTTAACATTATAATTATATTATAAAATATAATTGTAAATAAATATTGACATAACAAATTATATAAAAAAAATTTTCAAAATCTTATATTTATTAAAATTTATGTTAGAAGGTTTAAAATATACTTGTATAATATACAATATATTGACAAATAATAAATCTGGTTTAAGAAAATGTTTACCTTAATTTTTGTTCAATCTCTCGTTTTTCCTTACGTGTTGATAATTTATCTTTCAATTTGTCTGATGCTTTAGCTGCACCCCAATTTTGAGGGGGAACATGAATAAAGGTATCACCTTGCATAGTGTATTTTTTCAGGCCTACAAAAATATTAAAGCATATATATAATTTATCTCTTACCATCTTTCATTTCTTCAACTTTGTCACTAGATTCCGTTTTTAATAGAGTTAGTCCAAGTTTTTCTCTCAATTTACTAAATATATATAATTAGTTAATCAATATGTATATCTTACTTTGTGTCATCTATGCTTAAAGATACATCACCATGAGTTGGAACATAATCTAAGATGTTTAGATAAATTGTAAAAATAAATACAAGTTTACCTTGATCTTCATTCATATTATTTACATTTGCATTATTTAGAATATCTTCGGACACTTTATGTTTCTTGTGTTTATGTTTGTGCTTCTTCTTCACATGATGTTCATTTTTGTTCTCACTCTTATGTTTTTTATGTTTTTTACCTTCCATCAATTTTTAAAGTTAATGTTGCTTTGTCAAAAAGGACGTTTGATTATTTGCCATATGTTACGTAGCTGTCAAATTTGACATATTAATTATGATTTTTTTTTTCACGTTTTTCACTTTCACATAATTTAATTTGCATAATTTAATAAGTTTTAAATTATAATATTAGTCTACTACCTATGAGAATACCAAAACTTAGTGAATATAGAGAATTGAGGAAAGTGGATGTGCATACGAAATCATATTGGAGACATAATATTTGTCCAAAATCAAATTAATTTGTTGAGAAATTTTTTTAAAACTATTATTAATAAATCTTCGGCATGTTTAAAATCCATCAGTAATTTGTATTTTGGAATTATTCAAATTGGAGCTAATCAGAAAACATTAATACATCATCATTTTAACACAGTAGTTTTAGCAGCAATATTATTTTAATATCTTCCAAAATTTATATCCATCAAAAAGATTCAGGAATTATTAATTTTACATCATCATTTTATCACAGTAGTTTTAGCAGCAATATTATTCTTATATCTTCCAAAATTATATATTCTTTTTACCCTATGAAATACAATTTTATCAAAATCCTTACAGCTCTTAATGGCCTTAATATTAATAAGCAATTGAATTATTTATCACTTAATTAAAAAAACCCTTAAAAACTAATTTGATAAATCTGATTAATAAACATTCAAATATTTAATATCTGAGTACAAAATAATTATCCAAAATTCAAAAACTCAAATCAGATTCATAAACCAAAACTTGGCAATAATAAGACTCTCAAATTATAATAAGGAGCTATAAAATTATGACTTTAAAGAAAAGGCTACATATATTAAGGCAAAATTATGTTTCTGACTTAAATAAACAAATACCTTAAATATCAATCCTTCCCATCATCATTACCATGAAAGGAATCTGTCCAACTTGCCATAAATTAATAAATATAAAAAAGGATGGCCATCTTTACAAACATGGCCCTACAACCCTCCCTTGCTCAGGCTCTAACACACTTTGCACAAAACTTATAGAACCCCCAATAAATACCAAACACATACAAGTAAATAACAAATCACTAGAAGAATTTATCTTTATTAATAAATCACCAACAATTAAGCACATCCCAACCAGTGTTAACTACCTTATCACAGACCATCTCACCAAATTATTTGATAATATTAACTCAGATTTGTCAAACACAAATCATTGGAATAATCTTTTCACTTTCCCTTTTAAATGTCTCTCAATCCCAAAAGATAAAAAATCTATTTCACTACCTAACATTATAAAAGACAGACTTAAAAATATAGATTACTTAACACCTCTTGAACACATCAAATATCCCAATAATTCCAATGAAAGTTCATTAAAACCTGTGACAAAATTTCCAAAAAAATAAATGAAGGTGACGTCTGCGGAGCCCAAAAATTAATCTCCTCACAATCAAAACTAGCCCCATCTAATGATGCGACTCTTGAAAACCTAAAATCTCTCCATCCACGAGCTTCTTATACTAGCTTACCAAATCCTCCGCCAAATATTCCTCCTCTCACAATATCAAACCAAGATATACGTGACACTATAAACGAATTTAATAAATTTTCAGCAGCAGGTCCTGACGGCTATAGACCTTCCTACTTCCAAACATTCCTAAAATCTCCCAATTCAAATAGTTTTTTTAACTCACTTACATCCTTCCTCAATAATATAATCACTAGAGATATCCCCACATTAGCTCATCAAATAATATTTGGAGCTAACTTGATTGCATTTGAAAAGCCGAAAGGTGGTATCCGCCCAATAGCTATCGGTTCTTTCTTCAGACGCCTGATTACTAAAATCATCGCAAAAAAAATAAAAACCGTTACTCATTCCCTGCTTGGCAATTACCAATTAGGCTGCGGAACAAAAGGAGGCGTAGATATAGCCTCTCACTGTCTCCGAATCTACCTACAACATCCTCCTTTAAACTCCGTTCTTTGCAAAATTGATTTCAAAAACGCCTTCAATACTATATCCCGTTCCTCTGCTCTCGAATCGTTTTACGATAATTTCCCCCAATACTCGCGCATAGTTGACATTTGCTATTCCAATAGCACTCCCCTCATTTTCAATGGTTACGTTATATACTCAGAAGAGGGTGTTCAGCAGGGCGACCCCCTAGGCCCTATACTTTTCTGCTTAGCCATCCATAATATGATGAAAGATCTCAAATCTGATTTTGATCTAGACCTTAATTTATGGTACCTAGACGATGGCACTCTCTGCGGTAACCAACACCAAATAAGCAAAGCCCTCTTCCACCTCGAAAGAGAATGCCCCAAAATAGGCCTAGAATTAAACAAAACCAAAACAGAAATCTGCATACTCAACCCCGAGATTCCCCTAGATTCATTTAAAGATTACAATATTATCGAAATCGACGATATCCAACTCTTGGGCTCCCCACTACTAAATAATAAAATCTCGGAAAAAACTATCGATAAAACCTTCTTCGAGTTGCAAAACTTGGAAAAGTTCATCAATCATATCCCATCGCACCAACTTTTTTATCTATTAAAAAAGTGCCTATATTTACCTAAAATCTCACACCTCTTCCACTCATCCTCCTCATTTACCTCCTCAGAATTTTTCACCAAGCATAATATTCGCTTAAAGACCTTAATGGAAAGGATCCTTAATCTTCCACTATCAGACTTTAATTGGCACCGCTCAATTACCCGCTAAACTAGGCGGTATCGACCTAATCCCCTTAGAATTACTCTCCCTATCTCTTTTTATCTCTAATCGCCTTTCGCTCAATTCCGCGATCTCATCTTTTATAACTCCCAAAGACGATCTCTTAACAGTAGCAATCGAAAAATGGAATCTACTAACCCCAGACGGTCAAACATTCCCAACCGAAATTTCTAATAAATCAATCTTGGAACCCCTTATAAAGAAACTTCAAAATAATCTTAACCCCTCCGATATTAGCGATATTCAACTACTTCAATTAAACGATAAATATGGCGGATATGAATGGCTCGAGGCACTTCCTAGCCTAACCCTTGATAATCTCTTAACCAATGACCAACTGAGAGTTACCATAGGATTCAGACTAGGATGCTCGCTAACACATTCACACACTTGCCACCTTTGCAACCTACCCGTACAACCAAACGCAAGACACGGCCTAAACTGCTCCCGTAGCCAAGGTCGCCACCTCCGGCATAAAGCAATAAATAAAATCATCCATAATGCTCTCAATAAAGCTAAAATTCCTAACATTCTAGAACCTACAAACCTCTCTCTACAAGATGGCCTCAGACCTGACGGTCTAACCTGCATCCCTTGGTCCAATGGGAAATCCCTAATCTGGGACGCTACCTGTGTCTCTTCCTTTCCCTCATCAATTAATTCAAATCCTCTTACTAATGGCGAAAATAAAAAAATCAATAAATACTCAATATTAAATAAATATATTTTTCAACCCATAGTCATCTCAACTAATGATAATTTCTCCCAATCAACATATTCTTTTTTAAAAATTTTAGCACGTAAAATTTTTAACATAACAAACGAAAAACGCGAGTCAACCTTCCTAAAACAAAAAATACAATTAGAAATTTTTAAACATAATTATACATGTTTTTTAGGTACTTTTTTACTATAAGCTCTTTTTAGAGCCATCGATATTTTAAAATTTACACTCATTTTTAATATATGACTTGTTATATTAGATATATTTTATTATTGTAATTTAAAAATTATACCTGTTATTTGAAAATATATAGAATATAATTATCACATGATATTAACCTATGTAGAAGAGTTTATAACCATCTAAATTTTTTAACTATGAACATGTAGCCAATGTGGGGGGTGGGGGATTCTCTCTCCCCATCGCAATTTTGTCTGTTTTCATAAATATCAATTTAAGCTAATAAAAATTGTACCCCCCCCCCCATCCCAGTCAAAATTTTGTATATATTTTGTTATATAGCCATAACGATGGTAAGAAAAACGCTTTTAAGTTATAATTATTTTATTCTAAAACTAAAAAATGATACTAAAAATAAATATAAAATAAGGTATATATATATATGTATTATAAAAAAACAATTTAAACGAAATATATTTTAAGGCTATAATAACAATTTAAGTTAAATAAAAAAAATCAATCAATCAACTTTCACTTCTTCTGAAAAGCCTTCCCATAATCCATCTGAGCTATCATAGAAAATATGTCGTTCAAATGGTTGTTCATTTTGATTGTTCAAGTCGTTCATAAGTCATTGTAGTTGTTGGCTTGATTCTATCACGTTGGTTTGTAAATATCGTTTTGAGTATGCTGGTTCGTCGTCAAGCTCCGTCATGATCATTGTCAATTTTACAAAATTGTAAAATTATCATTATTAAATAGGATTTCATAATATATGAATAATTAGAGAATTGATCAAATTTGGACGTTAGAATAATAAAAGGATGATAAATCAACAAGATTGTTAGATAATATTTTTAGCGTTTTTATTTTTTATATAATATTTTTAGCGTTTTTATTTTAATTTTGCGTTTTAGTCTTTAAGTTATTTTTACATGTTTTAGTATTTAATTTATTTTTACATGTTTTAATATACTAAGTTATATAATCTTTTAGATAAACAGGTTTTTGTCTACTTCGTATCGGTCTAGGAGTCGGTATTACAATATTTTTATCATTAGTTTTAATATTTTTGTCCTCACTTCCGTTCTTCTTAGGAGAGTCATGGTATACAAATGTGTTATAGCATTCTCTCTTTCTTAATTGGTCCAGCACTTTCCCCTGTAATACCTTTTTCTGTATTGGAACATAGTGTCGCTTTCCTTCAAATTAATTGTCCTAGACGCAAAAGCAATGGGTTTTTCTTTGCCATCTTTCTCTGTGTGAAATAGTACAGCCCCTAATCCAGATTTGGATGCATCAGTCGCAATCCAATTAGGTAATTTCGGATTAAAATACGTCAGTGCTGGCGGGAGACTAATCAGCTTCTTTAAATCATTAAAACTTCTGGAATGTTCTAAGTTCCATTCCCATCTTTCTTTGTTGATTATTTTGTACAACGGATTAGCAATATCAGCGAAGTTATTCAAAAATTTTCTATAATAACCAGCCATTCCAAGAAATGTTGACAATTCAGCAGCTGATTTTCTGGCATTTTAATTATTGCTTCAATTTTATCATGGTTAGCATGAATCCCCTTGTCATCTATATCGTGACTCAGGAATCTAACTTTATTTTTAAAAAATAAACTTTTGGCGAAGTTAGGTATTAACCCGTACGATAATATTCTCTCAAAGACCTTTTTGATGTTGTTTAAATGTGCTTCATCGTTATTTCCAGTTATTAATAAGTCATCAATATAAAATTTGACATCTTTTATATCACCGAAAATCTGATCCATGATTTGTTGGAATATAGCAGATTAAGTTTTCAAGTTCAACCCAAAAGGAAGTCTGGTAAATTGGTAGTATCCCATATGTGTAGATGTAGTCAAAGAGTTTCTGCTATTTTTATCGATCGGAACTTATAGAAAAGTATTTTTGAAATCGATTTTGGTAAAAATTTTTTCCTTCTGAAAGTTTAGCTATAAGATCATTTATACGTGGAAGTGGGTATCTAAAGTCTTCGAGAACTGGGTTTATAGTGTCTTTAAAATCTGCGCAAAACCTGATGCTCCCATCATCTTTGTATACGGCGGTTATAGGACTCGCCCATCGCACATCATTTACAGGCTCAATAATTTTTTCGTGTATCCATCTTTTCCGTTCTTCGCCCACAAGATCAATCTTTAAATACGGTATACGTCTTGGTGGTATTATTTTAGGTTGGGCGTCACATCTTAAATGTAATTATTTACTTTGTTAATTGGTTCGCTAGTCAATTTCGATTCACAATCTTTAATAAATTTATTGATTTCGTCTTCATAATTGGTATCGACATTTCCTATGAATTTATTTAAAATATTTTTAAAGGCATTGATACAGATTCTTCCTAATAATGCGTTCTTTCTCGACTCTACAACTACTACTAGTAAATATTTAGTGATTCCTTCATAACTTAATTTAACCTGAGTTGTCCCGATGATTTTAATTAAGTTTCCGTCGGGCTGTAAGCCGCAAACTGGATTTCTTCATTTCTCTTATACCAATTTTTTTTAGCCATATCATGAGGTATGATGATATATTTGATCCAGTGTTGACCTGCATAGTAGTATTAATATTATTTAATTTCAAAGTAGTCATAAAAGCACTGTCATCACCTTTGTCTGTATTTTCAGCCAGGTTGTTGACATTGAAATCATTATCATTATTATCTTTGGCAATGTCAACTTTATTTTCCCCAATTTCTTCAATGCTCATATTAAAATTATTGCTATCGTAGAAGTTTCGATTATCATACTGGATTTGTTTTCTTTGATTAAAATCCTTCCACCTATTACGATCGTCATATTCAATTTGTTTTCTTTGGTTATCATTATTATGCCACCTGTTGTTTCCTTCATAACTTGAATTGTTATTGTAAGATCGGTAATTATTATGATTTTGATCGTCACATTGAATCTGCCTTCTCTGATTATAATTAAACCAGGCGTTGTTCCTACCATAGTTGTTGTTATAAGATTGATGATTATTATTATGAAAGTTTCTGTTGCTGTTGTTATACCGATAATTGTAATTTTGATAGTTACTATTATTATACTGATCATTTCTATAGTTGTTATTATTATAATTGTTATTGTTTCTAACGTTACTAAAATTCCTATTCCTGTTGTCGTTAACATTACTAAACCATGATTTCTATTCCTACTATCAAAATTTTGCCTCGAATAATAATTGGGTCTATTATAGTTACTATTAATCTCATTCCTATTAGAAATACTTTGGGTATCTAAATTCTTATCATTATTTCTATTATTGTCATTATTTTTATTAAATTTTTTATCCCTACTAAAAACATAATTAACATTGTCACTTTCTGATATGTTAATACTACTAATTTTCTTCCTATTTCAATCATTTCATCTAATGTGTAGTTAATATTTTTATTTAATTTATTTTTTATATTGTCATTTACACTAGATGTTCTCAATTTTTCTTTTATGCGATCATTATTAATAAAATTACATTGTCTACTTAATTTAGACAATCTAAAAAACCAATCCAAAAAAGATTCATTAATACCTTGTGAAGCATTTTTAATTTTTGGAAGGTAATTAAACTTCCCAGTCAATATCCAAACTAGTGTTGTTAATTGGTTGGTTGTGTAGAGCCCAGACCCGGGGTTTGGGTTGAAAATATCGACTAAACCAGCTCTGAGCAAGAAACCCCGAGCACAGACCCAGGGTCCAGACCCGGAGTTCAGACCCGGCACAAAAACCCATTATTTTTAAAAAAAATAATAAATAATTTTATTTAAAGAATATTATTATTTTATAAAAAGTAAATCTATATTATATATATCAATTTTGTGTAAATTTGTGAAATCATTATTTAGGCTCTGCATACATAGGAGAACACAAATCATGTCAAAATTTTGTTCTACCATTAGGGGAAATGTGCCATAAATGGCCATGTTTGAAGACTGGCCACCACCCTTTAACTTTTTATCTATTGGACCGATTTCTCTCAAAATTGGTCAAAATGTGTATATGTTAATAATACTAATTAAATTAGTGTATAATTGATTTTTATATACCTAAAAATTAAAGAAATATATAAGATTGGTCTTTTGCAAGTATTTCATATTTATAATATAATTCTTAAATAATATGTTATAGCCAGTAAATACATTTCAGCGAAACTTTTATCGCGAAACACATTTTCGCGAAGCTTTTATCGCGAATGTCGTTTATCGCGAATGGATTTTATGGCGAAACTTTTATCGCGAATCCATAATAGCAAATACTATTCCGCGAATACAATATAGCGAAACAAATATCGCGAATTTTTTATAGCGAAATTTTTATCGCCAAACCTTTAAAGCGAATACATTACCGCGAATACAATATCGCGAAACAACTATCGCGAAACAACTATCGCGAAGATATTATAGCGATAATTGCTAATAATGACTAATTTATTTCTAAACATTTTTCTATAATTATATTAACTGAATAATATTTTAAAAAAAAATAGGATTGTGACGATTTTGCACTCAATATTGAAATAAAACTAAAATAACTTATTATCAAATGATTTATTTCCATAATAATTTTTTGGAAAAAAACAGATGGAAGGGGGAATGAAAATATAGTTTTTATATTTTAATAAGGATAAATATTTATAAATAAAAAAAACGGATGTAAAATAAAGTTATTTATAGTATAAATATATATATTATTTTTTTGAATTCCATCTGGGAAAATAATTTTTTATAGCTTAACATTTTATTTTTTAGTGATTTTTAAAAAATATCAAAAAGTAAATCTATTTTTAACTAAAAAAATAAAGAATATACATTATTGTATTCTAATTCTAAATAGATTTTTTTTTCATTTTCATTTTTATTTTATAAAATAAATTTAAAATTTTTATATTTAATATGTTTTCTGAGGATCATTCTCATTGGTCAGATAATGATGACCAATATGCCATCTTCTCCAATTAATGAATCCTCATTTTTGTCTCAATCAACTATAGGACAAGAATTGGTAGATTCTTTTTCTGAAGAAGCCTCATCGTCATCATCCATAGCAATAGACATTAGGAATTCATTTATGATGACTCCTAATAAGACACGCAAAAAATGTAATTTATGCCCAAGTGTATACAAATTTTCAACTTCCCAAAGTAACAATAATTTTAAATTTTTGTTTTAAATATTTCTTGAGCCGGCCTGAACCAACGGCTTAAACCTATCCTGAGCCGGCTTGAGAAAGAAAAAATTTAGCTTTTTAACTTAATTAGTGCTCAGGCTAGTTCTGAGCACGGTTTAGACCGAAAAATATTATTTATTAAAAACTTCCTGTACTAATTTATGAATTATATTTTATAAATTTAGCGAATTTGAAAAAACATCTCAAATCGGTGCATCCTAGCATATTTAAAGAGATGTCACACTCACAGGGTTCCATTTATGACTCGATGCCGGGGATGAGAAAGCCTTTATCGCATGAAAATTTGATGATAAATAAACTCATCTTAATTTTCTTAATAAAAACTAATAGTTCCTTTAACATAATAGATAACCCAGCTTTTAAGAGGATATTCTATTATACAAATAAGAATATCAAGCTGTGGTGTAGGCAAACAATAAAAAAACCTAGGTAATGTCTATAATTTTGCAAAAAATAATTTAATTGATAAATTAAAAAATAAAAGTAATATGATATCCTTAAGTACAGATTTATAGACTGCTAATAATAGCACGCCCTACTGTGCTATTACTTTCCATTATATTGATAACAATTGGGATATTGTAAATAGGATTAGATATTATTTTGTTTCCTCACCCAGTGGCGTAGCTACGGGCGGGGTTTTCGGGTTTGGACCCCCCCCCCCCCCAGAGCAATTAATTTTTTTTTTAGAATATTCGTTTAAAAGACTCAAAAGTGACTTTATATCAAATAAATACCATGAATATTTATATTTTTCTGGTTTTGATGTTTGTGGAAGGATATTATTACTTTTAATTTTAAATATATATATATAAATTATTCTGTATATTATTTTAAAGTCATTGATAATAATCTATTAATTTTAATAATATATTATTGATGCATTTTTAAAAAAATATTTATTATAAATTATCCAAGATATGGTTCGAAAATAATAATATGAAATAAAAAAGTGCATAATCTACCCCCCCCCCCCCCCTCAGAGAAATTTTTTTTAGATTATTCGTTCAAAAGATTCAAAAGTGACTTTATATCAAATAAATACCATGAATATTTATATTTTTCTGGTTTTGATGTTTGTGGAAGGATATTATTACTTTTATATATATATAAATTATTCTGTATATTATTTTAAAGTCATTGATAATAATCTATTAATTATAATAATATATTATTTATGCATATTTAAAAAAATATTTATTATAAATTATCCAAGATATGGTTCGAAAATAATAATATGAAATAAAAAAGTGCATAATCTACCCCCCCCCCCCCCCTCAGAGCAATTTTTTAGATTATTCGTTCAAAAGACTCAAAAGTGACTTTATATCAAATAAATACCATGAATATTTATATTTTTCTGGTTTTGATGTTTGTGGAAGGATATTATTACTTTTATATATATAAAAATTATTCTGTATATTATTTTAAAGTCATTGATAATAATCTAATAAATTATAATAATATATTATTTATGCATATTTAAAAAAATATTTATTATAATTTATCGAAGATATGGTTCGAAAATAATAATATGAAATAAAATAGTGCATAATCTACTTTCTCATGCTTTTGAGGTTAAAAAATATTTAATCCAGTGTACTAATTAATATCTTATGCATTATAGGCTCTATTGAAAATAATAAGGATGATGTAAATACACCAGGTCAAAATAACATTTAATATAAAAAATATTTAAAATTAATAGCTAACTATTTTTATTTTAGAATTTAAAATTAAACACCTAGTCATAGTTTTAACTAAATTAAAATTGCCAGTACAAACCACTTTGGGTAATTTATTATTTTAAATAATTTTGGCTAACCAAAATATTTTGACATTTATAAGATATACCCAAACGTAGGAGGGAAGAAAATGATCTTGATACACTCATTTATATACCCAAAGACCATATAAAATCACTACCTAGTACCAGTGACCCCTACACTTTTTGAGGGATAGAAGAAGAATACCCCCCTAAAGTACCCCCCCCATTGGAAATTATTTTTTGACACCAATAAATTTCAAAAATAATTTTTATTGCATCAATATTTATTATAATATAAATATAATGTAAAAAATATATGCTTTAAAAATATTATTTTTAAATTAATAATTTAGATAAATTAGGGGAAGAGAAAGCAAAAGAATTTATAATTTCATCAATATTTAATTGTTTAAATAAATTATTTTCCATTGATAAAATGGTTAAATTATTAAGAAATGGATCTTTCATGACACTACGAAGTCTTGTTTTAATTAGTTTAATTTTACTCATGACCCTTTCGGCAGTACATGATGTAGTAAGAATAGTTAATAAATTATATAAAATTGTTAAATTTGGGAAAGCAGAAAAATTTATAAGCAGACGATAAGGTAAAATAAATGAATAGTTTCTCCAGTCTTAATCATTCATCTCAAAATTATTATCATCATCAAAAGAAGCTAAATAATGTATTAGTAAAAATATTTTAATTAAATAAATTTACAATTCTCAGAATCTGACAAATCTTCTTTAACCTCTAGGTCACGAGTAATAATTACGTCCCCCGTTTTAGCCATTTTATAAATATTTCTAAACATCAACATTTCCTCAAAAACTTGACTTGTATTTAATTGATAAAATTCACAGATATCCTTGATATCATCTTTAACAATTGCCTTTTCCGCCATTCCCTTTGGGGTAAAAAATGATGTTTGACTCAAAAATTTTATCGATTCATCGTTAAATCTTTCACTAAACTGCATAATAATTAAATCAAGTGCAGCATAAAACACACTGATTTTAAAGCTAAAATTAAATATTATATTTAATGATGAAAGTATATATATACCTCTCCTTTTTGGATTGTAATGTTTGAAGTCTTGAACTTTCAAAATCAAAAGGTAAATTTCTCTTCTTCATAAAATCTTGGGCCTTTGAAAAGACATCCAAAAATTCAGTGTTATTATCTATTTTAGGATTATAAGATAATAAAAGATAATAATTTAAATTATACTTCTCATATTAATCAGGCAATCTTTTGCCAATTGAATTTGATTTATTGCAAACCCTATATCCTTCGAAATGGTTTGCAATTTTGTACAAGCCAAGCTAGTTATCAACAATATTTTATCCAAAACACATAGTGATAAAATAAAATCAAATTTTTCTATTCTATAGACTATAGCACTAGCCATAGTGGAAGTGGCAGGATCTTCAGAATCCTTTAAATTTGCCAAAGCTGCCCTCAAAGCATCATAAAGTAGGAAAAAATTTACAATCGCCTTATATGATGTTAGCCAGCTTCTATAAATATAAAATAAACATTATATATCGAAACAATTAAGATAATATTACCGAGTGGTATTCTTGATGCGTAAAAATCTATGTGATTTTGTCAGTAAATCACTCTGACATGTTTTGAGCACTTCATATCTTTTAACACCATTAAAATATACGTAAATTTCGTCTAATATTCCCAAGACATTTCGCAGCTCTTTTACTGATTGGCAAAATTGAACAACTATTAAATTTAATCGATGACAATAGCACCAAATAAAAGCTGCCTTTGGCGCCTCCGCTCTAATCAAAGCCTGCACTCCATTGATTCTTCCACTCATGTTTGAGTAGCCATCATAGCTTTGCCCATCTAGGAATTCAAGAGGTAAAATCATGGAGCCAGGCTTGGATATTATATTCTTTTTAATATCGAGGCCCGTTGTATTTCCCGTACAATAAATGTCTATCAGCCTTTCAACGGGCTTAGGTGTCTCGCTATTTTCAACATATCTCACTATCAAAGCTATTGCTTCTGATTTCGATACATCATATGTGCCATCAACTATAATTGAATAGCACCTGTTGAATTCAATCTCCTTTTGAATTTTTTTTATAACCATATTTTTCATGGTTTCAATAAGAATATTTATGTTATTATATGATAACAGATTTGAATATAATTTAGATTTTAATCCCTTAATTTTTTTCTCACTTCTTATTTAATAAAAAAAATTATTTTGCTATTTGTCCAATTTTGAGAAATATTCTTAAAAGCCACTATTTCAAAGCTTTTCTTTATATCGTGAAAATTAAGCCCACCATGTCTTTTTCTAATATGATCTGTCCATTTATCATCTCTTATATTATGATATGTACAATTTTTAATCAAGCATTTATATTTTTTTTTGGTTAATATTTTTGGGCATATTTTGACAATGATCTAAAAATTATAAATGATTATATATGAGATTTAATATTTAAATTTTTACTATTCCCTTTGATAAAATTTTAATTTTGCGCCAAATCTTGAAAGTGGAAAAATAATTTTATGATAAGAAATATCGGATAACAAACTAATTTGCTAAACATCGACCATAAAAATTTTTAAAATAAAAAATTTTTTTAAAATTTTAAAATAAAAAATAAAAAATTTAAAAAAAAAAAGTACCCCCATAGAAATTTATAGAAGCAGTTGCTTCGGACCCCCCCCCCCCCGTTGTAGGGGTCACTGCCTAGTACAAGTAATATAATCTATTAAGATTTAAATATTTTTTATTATAGATTTAGATATATTAAGTATGACATTTAATAAAAATGATGATAGTCAACAAAATGAACACACCAAATCACTAATTAGAAAATCAAAATTTTAATGATGAACTTGATACCATAAGCAACAATTTACCACCCACATCAGGTATTTTGTAATGACCTTATTTAAATGAATCATTAATTAATATAGAAAATCAAAATTTTAATGATGAACTTGATACCATAAGCAACAATTTACCACCCACATCAGGTATTTTATAATGACCTTATTTAAATGAATCACCAATTAATATAGAAAATCAGAATTTTAATGATGAACTTGATACCATAAGCAACAATTTACCACTCACCTCAGGTATTTTATGAACTTATATGACCTTATTTAAATGTATTCATTTAAATTTTAGAAATACCTAGATACTCTATAAAAAATTATGATAAAAATAAGCTAAATACACTTGATCACTTCAAATCTCTACCTAGTAAAATTAATGTTAACTATTACCTTTAAATATTTATATCATAATTTTAGGTATATCAAGTATCATATTGAAGAAGAATGATAGTAGTCAACAAAATATTATAGGCTGTATCAATTTAGAATTTAAAGGTTATCTAATATGTTGTTTTATTTTAATTTATTTTTATAGGAATATCTCAATTAATATTCACACCAAGGGGTAAAAAAAATAGTGATAACAAACAAAAAAATACACTAAGTCACAACAAATCACTATCTAATAAATGTAATGTAATCAATTACTTATTAATATTTACATTAAAATTTTAGATATATCTAAAAAATCTAGGGAGAATTTAAATGGAAATGAAGTTCCACTCATGTCAGGTATTAGTCTTATTTAAATTATATTTATTTAAAATCTTAGCAATTCCCACATACTCCAGAAACCTAAGGGTTAATAGACAACCAATTATACTAGATCATTTAGAACCATCACCTACTACAAGTGATATAGTCTATTACTTTATACTTATAATAATCAAAAGTTGGTTCCAAAGCTAACATGTCATCTATGATTATTAGCCTAGGTTTCTCAATATTAATTTTAAACATCTATCATATATTGGTAAAAAAATATTGCCAACACAATTTTGATTTTTTCACTTTGAAGGATATCGACTTAAATTTACAGTTTAAAAAAACATTTATTTTTTAATCTATATTTTTAATGTGTTTACTAATTATAAAATATATCATTTATAATTAAGGCAATATAATATTTATAATTAAAGCAATTTATATGTGTAATACTAATATTTATAATTAAGGCAATATAATATTTATAATTAAAGCAATATAATATTTATAATTATAGCAATATAATATTTATAATTAAATCAATATAATATTTATATTTTAAATAATCGCTTTTTATTTGTAAATAACTTCTAAAAGTATAATAAAATGAAACGTATATCAATAAAATTGTGTCAATGTGTTATTTTAATTAAAATTATGTCAATGTGTTATTTTAATTAAAATTAGTGGTTAATGGCTCAATTTTAGCCGATATGGCTAACTCAATATATTAGCCAGAAAATTTTGCTCATGGAGATACAAGTTTTATATTATTCGAGAAATCTCTAGGCTTGAACAATATTTTTTGGCAAAAATATTGAGTTAGCTGTTTATAAAAATCAGCTCAAGTCGAGCCGTTTAACAACACTAATTAAAATAATTAATAATTCTAGGACTTTTATATTATAAGAAAAACCAATATGATTTTTAAGATAAACATGGCCGAAGGCCGGGCAAAGGGCCGAAGGCCCGTAAAAGGCGCCCCCAGGCTTTTATATGTGGACCCCCTCTAAGGAAAATTCCTAGCTACGCCACTGCCTCACCCACACACTGGAGATAATATCTGCAAAATTGTTTTATCATCATTAGAAGATTTTAAATTAAGTGATAAAATAATATCAATAACACACGATAACGGATCAAATGAGATCAAGGCAGTACAACTGCTGCAAGAGTATTATCAAACCCATTACTCGAAAATTTTATATGGGCATCGCTGCATGGCCCACATCATTAATTTAATATTAAAGGTGGGCTTTCATTTTTTTGAGGCGAAATTGGAAAAAATAGAAAATATAGTTAATAAATTACATAGCTCACCCATATTTATGCAATCTTATAAAGCCATATGTGGGGCTACATTAATACCTTTAGCTGTTAAAACAAGATGGAACAGCAAGTACCTCATGATATCCGCCATTAATAAGGTAATAACTATTATTGTATATTTTATTCTTTTTCTTAATATTTATCTATCTAGAATATTGATTCAATTCATGAACTGAGCGATCAAGGTATAATAGGGGAGGATATTACCCCAACTTCTGATGAATACTCGTTCTTCCTAGAGTTGGAAGAATTTCTTCTACCCTTTTATCAAATAACAGTAGAAATATCCACTCATTCTCCCACAATCGGGATGACCCTATTATTCTTCAATGATATATTGGAGAATTTAAAAAATCATACCGTGGCATATTCAAATTTGTCAATAAAAGAAGCAGCCACTATTATGTTAAAGAAAGCTGAAGAATATAGTCATAATATATTCACTCCATATAATTACGCAGCGTCGTTACTTGATCCTAGGATCAAAAATACCCTGATTACAAATCTAAGGGATGACATTGCAGATAAATATTTAGATATATTTAAAATAAACTTTGCAAAATATACGTCAGAGCCAGATGCTTATAATTTTGATAATTATAACAATATCTCGAATTCTAAAACTATTTCAATATTGCAGGGATTGAAAAAAAGGTATAGTTAAATGTTCTATTATAAATCCATAATCTTTGATATTTTAAATTTATCCATATTTAGAAAAGGAGCATCAAATGGCACTAATGGTAATAATCAATTAACGACATACCTTAATGAACCACTCGCGCCCGAAACCACAAATATATTAGATTGGTGGAGAGGAAATGCTGATCGTTTTCCTCATTTAGCAATGATGGCCAGGGACTATTTATGCCAACAGACAACATCAGTGGCATCGGAAAGAGCTTTTTCTTTGGCCGGAAATATTATGACTAAACTGAGGAACAGGATGGTCCCATCGACGCTAAAGCAATGCATGTCACTCTCTTCCTGGGATATAGATATAATGTCTATTCGTGATGAAATATGGCAATAATTTCTCAGGTGTTACAGTATATGGAATCATATTTTTAACAAACATACATCAATTAGAGAGGTAAGAATAGAAATATAAAATATCACTTATTTAGAAATTTATTTAAGTAAAATATCCAGGGTTGTGCATTTGACCGGTCAAATACAATTCGGTCAATTGACCAATATTTGACCGGTCAAATATTGTCAAATACGGTCAAATTCAAATAAATGTTTTTTACACCAATATTAACTTTATTTTGCATTTATATAATATTATAATAAATCTATGTATAATAATAAATATCATAATATTTTTTAATTCATTTTATAGTCAATGTTTCACCCTCCGTGGCAGATTCTTGTTCCGATTCATATTCAATATCATTATTTTCTTTAATATTTTTAATCAATCTTAAATTATGATACACTCTTACTAATTTTCCTGCTGTAGAAGCCTTTAATCTATTTCTGTTTTTCGTGTGAATATTGCCCCAAACCGACCAATTTCTTTCAGAAGAAGAAGTCGAACTAGGAAATGTTAGTAAAATATTAGCGACTTCTCTTAATGGGCAAGGTGGGCAAAATGCATTCCACCAACTTGAGGCCGAAATTTGATTGTTTCTTATGGAAGTTACAAATTTCCACATATTATGACTATTAAATATACCGCTTTTGCTTCTGAAATTTACTATATTACTCAAAATATTTTGATTATCACCACCTTGTAAAATACCCAATTCTTGTATTATATTACATGCTTCATCAAATTCAGTATTAGTAAGATGCTCCCCTTGATATTGGGGGTCCAATAAATAAGCAGCATTGTGAGCACATGTATTTAGATCAGTTTTTCTCTTTTCAAACATAACCTTAATTTTTTTTTCTTGAGATGGAGAAAATATAGAATCATGGCATGATTGTATTATGTGTTTTTCCAAATTAAGCATCTCGTTTTTTACTTGGGCCAAAGTACATTTATCCCCTTGCACTTTCAACAATGAGGTAGCTAAAGGTTGGAGTATAGCTAAAAATTTTAAATTTTTCGTCCAAAATTCTTCGTTTAATATATTATTGGTAATTTCTATGGGACAAATATCACAAACAGCTTCTTCAACAACTGATGCTTTTAGAGCTTTCTTGCATATTTGAATTTGCTCCATACATTTTATTGACGATGCCCATCTTGTTTGGCTAATTGTACTTAATGTAGATGGTATGCCATGAAGATTCTTATTACGGGAAAATACTGCTGGTATGTGTTTATTCTTGAAAAATTTAACAATTTTTTTAATTATTGAAATATGGTCACTGAAGGCGTTCAATCGTTCAAAATCGTGAAAGAATAATTGCAATGTATGCGCTGCACAACCATAACATTGTATATGATTATAAATAGATTCAGATTTTAGAATTCTCCAGGCTGCTTTCATGTTAGCGGCATTATCAGTAACTAAAGAATATACTTTTACCGGATTCAATTCATGAATTAAATTTTTAAATTCCTGGGCAATATAATCTGCCGTATGGCGATTTTCCTCAGTATTTAGAAATTTGTAGAACACTGGAACAGGCGTCATCACCATAAAATTAATAATACTCTCGTTTCTAATGTTGCTCCAGCCATCTGATACAATTGATAAGTAAGGAGCTTTATCTATTATATCTGCAACTCTCACCTCCATATCACCTGACGCTTTGTCTAGAAGATATCCAGCCAGCTGCCTTCTCCTGGGTAATGTGTAAATAGGATGTATTTTTTTAAAAAATTCTTGGATGTAGGGATTTTCAGTGATGTGGAAAGGTAAATTGCTCGCATATACAGCCTTTGCAAACAATTGATCCAGCTCATTTTTTTCTTTGGGATTAATTCTATCTATGAAACCGGTTATACAAGATTGAGATTTATATTTAATCGCCTTGCTTGTAGATTGATTAGAAATAATGGAATCAAATTCTCCTGAGTCACAAGACAAAATATTGTTCATTTGATAATCATTCTCACTAATTTCACCCAATTCTTCATTAGAGTTAGACTTAGAAGTATTACAAATTACATTTGTGATATTTTTTGTAGAGGTTGATATTTTGGAATTTGAATAAAATTTTTCCTTAATTATAACAGGGCACATAGTACAGCTGCTTAATAAATGTTTGACCATTCTATCAACGTGGGTGATATAGGACATCTTGCAAAACTTGCACACCGCTTTAACTGATTTACCATCGCGTACTTCTTGAAAATGTTTCCAAACATGATGCTTTGGTTTGACCATAATCCCTAATATATTAAAATTTAACAAAAAATGATTTAGATTATTGTAAAGTTAATCAATCTTAACTATTTTATAATTATCTACCAATTATTCCAATAATTTCTTAATATTATAAATATAATATAATATATATAACTTTTTACCAGAATTGAATAATATTCCGTAAATCTGACCAGAACAATTAAAATGGAAATTAATTTTAAAAACCAAATATAGCAAGTGTAAGTAAAACAAATGAGAATTAATATAATTTATACTCGGCTAAATATTAAATAAAATTTAAATTTATTAAAAAATAAGAATGAAAAAATTATATTATGATTATAATAAATCGGGTATTTTTATTTTTTTTAAGAAAAATGAATTGAAAAAAATAAAGAAGGCGAGAAACGGCAATGATTAGGCAAAAAAATAACTAAAAATATTACTATATTTAGAAAAATTACATATTTATATTTTAACAATAAAAAAATTCTTTTGTTTTTAACAATTCATGATACAAATAATTTTTTAAATAATTGTAACCTAATAAGATTGATAAACATGCTTTTAATTCATACTAGTTAATTATATCAAAATATTTATTCGCCATTAATATTTTAGAGTATTTGACCGTATTTGACCGACATGCCAACCCTGAAAATATCTATAATAAATTTTTATGTTAATAGTTTATTTTGAGTTTAATTTATTATTCGTGTTGTTAAAAGTCTCAAATGCAGTCAATTTTAAAAACATAAATTGAAATTTAGCTAAGTGCAGGCACGCGAATATTTATTTGGTTAAATTCGCGCCGTTTAAGAACATTAAGTATCATGCATGTCATATAATAATATTATTTATCTCAATAAAATTATTAATATTTACATATATGTTAAAATATTATTTGAAGCGGGGCTTTATTTATATCCTCTCTACCGTGCAAGACTCATTCGTAATAGGAATATGACAATTTTATATAACGGAATACGAATTTTTAACATAATATTTTATATGCGTTTGGATTGGAGAATATATAAATATTTTAAATGTATATTATATAATTTTTTATTTCATTATATTTATCATAATACTATAATTATATATATTTGTTTAAATATAAATTATAATAAAATATCACATTATGCGATTATTAAGATGCTTATGTTAACCATGAAAAAATAATTTCTCATAAAAAATATATATCAAAATTTCTAATATCATAAGTTTGTCAATTGTCACCTAGATACTAAATACTTAGCGGTTACTTTGTCAAAATATATCTGTTTTATTTTTTTTATCTTGACGGATGGCCAGTATATCATTAAAATAACTTACTTAATTAATTTCTTCCGACGGCAAAATTCTCAGTTATCGACACTTTGGAATTATAAATGTTGAAATATCATGGAGGACATTTTTTTAATCTTTACTTAAATGATTTAAAATAAAAAAATTATTATTATGAAAAATAATAATTTTTTGGAAAAAAACAGATGGAAGGGGGAATGGAAATATAGTTTTTATTTTTTAATAAGGATAAATATTTATAAATCAAAAAAACGGATGTGAAAGAAAGTTATTAATAGTAGAAATATTAAAACTATATTCTTATTTTTTAAACAATAATTATTTTAAAGAATTAATTGTTTATAATTATTTAAATTATATTCTAGTTAAATTTACAACAACAGGTCTTTTTAAAAGGAAATCAAAAAAATCCTACTATTTATAGTAGGATGCCCTTGGTTGGTAAATTTACTAAAAATAAAATGTTAAAATATATTCATAAACACAATAGAGTTTATCGTACGTAAGTCATAATCAGTTTTGTCAGTCAATATTTTGCGTTGATAATAATATTCCTGACTCCTCAGGACTACCTATATTATTATTTTGGATAAAAATATTCCTGCCTCTTCTAAGCCCTATACATTAGCCTACAGTACAGAGTAGAGAGGGAACGCCTGATCTCTTAATGAATAAATCTTATATTTAATTTTGGGGAAAAAAATAAATGGGTTTTTATGCCGGGAATATCAAATATGATATAATAAAATATATATTTATTAAATAATGTGAACAGGGTTTCCAGGTCAAAATTTTCAAATTGCGGATAAATAGTGCATTGTTAAAAATATTCCTGTGCCCTCCTAGACCCGCCCACTTTGAATAATAATTTAGATTACAATCAAGATATAATTAAATTCCCTTTTATTTGACGCCCATATCAATATTTTCCATTGTTAAAAATATTTCTGACCTCATAAGACCTAGTAGACCCGCCTAATTAGAATATTAATAATAAGTATTAAAGTCAAAATTTAATTAAAACACCTTTTATTTGACGCCCATAATATCAATATCATCATGTTAAAAATATTCATAACCTCTTGGACCCACCCATCTAGAATAATAATTATGATTACTAGTAGACTACAGTATATAATTAACACACCTAGCCCTATTAGCCTATCTGTTATATTGTGGAAATAATTTAAATAAAATCACTCGAGGTGATAATGAAATATTTTATGTAAAAGTTAAAATCGATTTAAATGTAAAAGTAAAAATCAATTTAAAGGTAAAAAGTTAAAAATGATTTGAAATGGATGTATAACGATAAAATGTAAATAGATTATATTTGAAAGACATAACTGTAGGATATTGATATATTATAATTTTTTTGTATATATTGTTATGTTTTTTGGTTATAATATGACAGTTTGAAATTTATATGTTATAATAAAAAAAGATAAATTAAATATTTGTGTTTTAAATGCTTCAGCTTTAAATCGTATTAATTAATGTTTAAAAATGTGTCAACTTTAAATTATAAAATCTCATCCTTATCACGTATCCGAGAAATCGTAATCTGTCGGAATGATGCACCTTAATGATGTGCCAATTGAATTACAGATAGACACTGGGTCAAGATTCACAATACTACCAATAAGTGTTGCAAGAAAAATTGGTATTAAAACATTAAAGAAATCGGAAACAAAACTTACGGGCTACGATGGGAGAATTATAAAGGTGTTGGGCACCGTTGACATCAAGGCAAAATATGGAAACAAGACAGAGACCTTGAACATACACGTAGTGCAGAGCAATAAAATACCGCTGTTAGGTAGGACATGGTTAAAAGCGTTTGGCAACATATTAGATCAATTTGTAAACCATGTCGAAGAAAATTATGATGATGCAATACAAAAGATGGATAAACGAATGTAAAACCAAAGTTGACAAAAAGCCTATAAATCGCAGTTATGTTAAACTTTATCTTAAACAGGACGCTATACCAAAAATAATACCGCCAAGACGAGTGCCATATAAACGACATGATTTGTTAACAAAGGAGTTGCAGAAGTGGATCGATGACAAGATAATCGAGCCAGTGGACGACGTACGCTGGGCGAGTCCGCTCACACCTGTTTATAAGAGCGATGGTACATTGAGGCTTTGCGTAGACTTCAAGAGCACAATCAATCCTGCACTAGTAGACTTCAAATACCCAATTCCAAGAATCAATGACCTTATATCAAGGCTGTCAAAAGGCAAGAAGTTTACAAAAATACATTTTAAGAATGCTTTCTTTCAAATACCAATTCACAAAGAATCAAGATATCTTCTCACCATATCCACGCATAGAGGCTACTTCAGATTCACCAGACTTCCTTTCGGTTTAAAGACATCATCAGCTATTTTTCAACAGACTATGGACAAAATTTTTGGTGATTTAAAAGACGTTATTTTCTACATTGATGACTTATTAATTACTGGTGATGATGACGAAAAACACATGAAAAACATAAAATTGGTTTTTGACAGAATCTCAAAATATGGACTAATACCTAATTTTACGAAGAGTATATTTTTCAAGAAAGAAATACGATTTCTAGGACACGACATCGATGATAAGGGGATTCATCCGAATGGAGAAAAGATAAAGGCCATTACGGACATGCCAGTACCAACAACTAAAGAAGAACTAGCAACGTTTTTGGGCATGGCTAGTTATTACCGAAAATTTTTATGTAATTTTGCGGATTTAGCGGATCCATTATACAAGATAGTAAATAAAGAAAAATTTTTGTGGAATGACGTACATCAAAGATGTTATGATGATTTGAAGAATCTAATTAGTACACCACCATCGTTAAATTATTACAATCCAGATTTGCCGATAGGTATCGCGACGGATGCTTCGAAAAAAGGTTTAGGTGCTGTATTATTTCATATAGAAGGAAATGGCAAGGAGATGCCTATAGCATACGCATCGAGAACTTTATTGAAAGCAGAAATTAACTATACAAATATCGAGAGAGAGGCTTTAGCAATAGTATATGCAGTGAAGAAGTTTCAGGAGTTCCTCATAGGCTCCAAATTCTTCATTATAACCGACCACAAGCCACTCGTTTACATATTTACAAAAGGATTAAAAGATAACACGTCAATATCGATGAGATTGCAAAAGTGGAATTTGGCTATGGGAGCTTACGATTTCACGATAGTTCACAGAGCTGGTAATCGCAATACAATATCAGACTGTTTATCAAGATTACCAAGAAGAAATACTGAAGAGGGTATACAAAATATAGAAAATAATGAGATTACTAGTGATTTATGGGACATACCAATTAACTTTCAAAGAATAGTGAAAGAAACAAACGATGATGATGAATTAATGGAAGTAATAAATAACATCAAACATGGTGAAGATATAAAAAACAAAACATACAAGAATATGGAAATGGAGTTGAGTTTGATAAAGAATTGCCTTTTAAAGAAAACCGAGTCATAATACCGAGGATAATGAGAAATGAGATGTTAAAAGATTTACATAAAGGACATTTAGGCGCAGGCAAGATAAAATTATTGGCGAAAGATTATTTATGGTGGCCTGGTATAAATGCAGATGTAGATCAAGAGGTAAAAGAGTGTGAAGAATGTAACAAATGGGCAGACAATCCACACAATATACAAAATCCATGGAGAATCGCGACTAAAATTTTTAAACGAGTACATTTTGACTTTGCACAGTTCGGAGATAATGATTACATGGTATTTGTGGACGCGTATAGCAAATTTTCAATAATAAAGAGAATGAAAAATATTACAACAGAATCTACTGTGAAAGAACTGATGAGAATAACAAGTCTATTTGGAATACCATATAACATCGTGACGGATAATGGCACCAATTTCACTAGTCACCTATTTAAAAAATTTTGTGAGGATCATGGAATAAAACATATTTTGACTGCTCCACATCATCAACAATTCAATGGTCAATGCGAACGTATGATTAAATCAATGAAAATGAGCTTGAAGAGAAATGTGGAGAATAACACAAAAGTTAACGCCGACATAGCTTTAGAAAAATTTTTGTTTAATTATCGAAATACTCCAAATGCGACGACAAATATGATACCAAGCAAATTAATGTTTTCTAGAAGTATAAGGACAAAATAGGATTTGGTTAAACCTATGGAGGAAAAAGATAACGTATTAAATCGCAAAATAACAGTAACGAGAAATATCAACGTAGGAGATAAAATTTGGTATAAAACGTTCAAGGAAAACATGTGGGATAAAGGAGTAGTGATACATAAAGATGGAAATTTATCATACAAAATAGATACTGGACATAATATAATAAGAAGACATTTGGATCAAATAAAAATAAGATCGACAAGTAATGATTATACGACGAGTGAACGAGTTTTTAGAGGGGGAAGAGGTCAGGAGCAAAATCAAAATCAAGACCAAAAGAAAGAACAAGATCAAGTTCAAGTTCAAAGCTAGATACGAGATCGAAATCAAATAAGTATTCAAGAGCCAAGTCGACAATACAATTTGAGACCGAAGAAATTCATTGATTATAAATAAACTATATAAAATATAATATAATTTTTTTAGTTAAATTTGATGTTAGAACGAAAAGGTACATGGACTTGGAATAAATAAAGAACTTAGGGATTACCTCAATATACGATACGAATGATGGGTACGATGAAGGGGGAAACTA